ACCGCCGCTTCAGCAGCGGGTCGTGCGCGCGCGCCGCCGCCGGGCCCAGTGAAGCCGCTCTAGGACCGTGGAGGACCAGCGTCTCGGCCTCCCTGGGTCCGGTCTCACGCCCCGCCCCTCGGCGCCCCGGGACCACTGCGGCCCGGGAGGCCGGGCTACCCTAGAGAGAGGAGCCGCCGAGCGGGGACCGGAGGACGCCGCAGGGTCCGCGCAGGACTGACTGCGCCGCGGGGCACTCTCGGCCTCGGCTCCGGGCGCGTCCACCGGCTCACTTAACGCCGGCGGCCGGCTGGGCCCCGGCGGGCGTGCGCGGGCTTAGGGGGCCGCGGACGCTGCAGTCTGAGTGGCGCCCGGCGCCCGGGAGCCCCGAAGCTGGCCTGAACAGCAAGTCGCGTCTTCCCAACCTGAGCAAGCTCCCCCTCACACCCCGCCACTCTCTGCTCCGTTACGAAGTCAGTGACTTGTCGCAGCCTCCCGCTCTTGGAACACCCTCTTTTCACCCGAGCGAGGCCACCAGGAGCTGCAGTTACCCAGCTGCCCCGCCTGCCCGGCGGCCTTTGTTGGCTCCCCTGCACCCGCTCGCCGCCCCCATTCCCGCTCCGGCCCCGGGCGGGCGGCCCCACCGCCGCGAGCGTGAACTACAGCCTGTGCACGCCCACAGCACATCCTCCCGGGCCTCCCTCGGCCTCTGATCGCCCGCACTCCGCAACCACGCACAGTGACGGCGCTTTGCTGGCGCTCCCCCTGGCTCCTTTTGTCTATAACGCCGGTCCCTTCAGGCTCGTTTCACTTGTGAAGCAGGAGAAGGAGGGTTAATTGGGACGCGGGGTCAGCTGGTGGCCGAGATAAAACGTTTCTCCGGAGGCAAAAAAAAAAATCTCAACCCACTTCACTGAGGCAAATTAGATTTCTCAGACTGACCGTGTACGCAGATAGGAGCGGGCCCTGGAAGGCGGCGGTTGAGCTGGAGAGGAAAAGCCTCAAATGCTTGGAGTCTGGCAGTGTCCTCGGAGGGCCCCACCACCACAGCCACTGAGGTGCCCACAGCCTGCCTGTGTCACCACGCTGCACCCATGCTTTGCCTGACACAAAAGCAGAGAGGGCTCCGAGCCAGTTTTGAGACGATCTGTTAGACTGTTAGAGCGGGGAGCTGGCAGGTGCTGAGAAGACGCATAAACCCCTTTCAAGTTCCCCACCAACCAGCCTGACTCCTCTAGGGGGGTCAGAGCCCACGCAGACCCATGATGACCTGCCTTTTCAGTGTGGCCTCGTTTACCGGCACTTACCCACACACATACGCAGGCCATGGGCCTTAGCCACCGTGCCTATTCCAAGACCATTTAAAACTCCTCTCCGTGTGAAGGTGGAGTCTCATAGTCACTGGAAGAAGCCCCACAGGCCCTGAGCACTCCCAACCCCAGGCTTCGGCACCGTGCCATTGCTAGGCTCTGCCCACTCTGCTTTCTGGATGGTGGACTTTGATCCTGGCAGTGGCTACCTCTAGCATTGTCCACCAGAACCCTCCTGCTGCAGTCAGGGCTTTCAAGAGAAAAGATTTAATACAGGACACATAATTTATAGGATTTCATAATATTCACCCAGAGTCAAATGCAGAAGAGCGCAAGAGATCTGTTCACACATGAGACCCAAAGAATCCAGCTGAGGGCTTGGATCCCACCGCAATGACCTGCGCAAGCCCAGCTGAAGACCTAGAGCCCATGGCAATGTCCTCCACAAGTCCAGCTGGAGGCCTGGAGCCCATGGCAATGTCGCATGCAAGTCTGTATCAAGGATCTGTGCTGGGAAGGCAGGGTCAGTGGTAGAAGCCAAAATGTCTGCGCCAGCAGGGTAAGACCTCTGTACTGGAGCCAGGAAGTGATGCTCAAGGAGCAGAAGTCCCCCAGAATAAACCCTAGCCATGCTTAATGACAGTGAGGACTCAAGCTCCTCCGATGATGAGAACAGCCGAGTTCATATCTGGAAATCCAGTGTGACAAGCTTCTCCAGGAGAATCGACAGTTCACCATCTTCCCCTCCAGTTCTCCTTTTATGCTGTTGACAACAGTCCTCAGCTGGGCCCTCCACACCCGGCACCACCCTGATTCAGTTCAGCTGAGTGTTACAAGTTGCCTATCAGTTACTCTACAACATTGTTGGGGCACACTAGGTTTCCTCTTGTCCATGGAGATTCACCAAGGAATACATAACCTGGAGGGGTGCAAGTGAAAACTGTCAGGCATTTATGGCAGCAGTGCTGCTGAGTCCAGTTTTGTACAGTCTTGGTCTGTTTGTTCCATGTGGTTAGAAAATGGTGTAAATAATCACACATGGTACACACAGGTCTGAAGTGCTACTATAGGTCAGTGATCCTCACCCTGACATGGGGACAGCACTGAAGCAGGACTCTCCAGAGCATGCCTGCATTTGTCCTGGAATCAAGGGAGTCACTCAGCAGTCTGATCCACTGATAGCTTGAGGAAGGTCCAAGACACAGTGTACCAGCCAGGACACCATTACAGTAGGACGTGGGTGCCAAGCGTGGTGGTGCACACCTGTAATCCCAGCACTGGGGAGGCTGAGGCAGGAGGATCATTGCGAGTTTGAGACCAGCCTGAGCTACAAAGTGAGCTCAAGGCCAGCCTGAACTGCGTAGTGAGACCCTGTCTCAAAAAGACAAAAAATAAATAAATAAACAATAGGGTGTGGGTAAAAGAAATATCAATCTGGGTAACAAATCCTGCTTTGTTTGTGCTAACCTCCTCTGAACATTGTTGTACCAGTTCTGATCAGAGTTACAGTCTGGATCTGAAGTGGTAGAAACGTTTTACTAATGTCCCCAGTGCAGCAGTGTTCACAGCTGGGACCTCTGGGAGGTGACTGGGTCTCCAGGGCTCTGATTCTATCAACAGAGGACCCTAAGCCCCTGATGGACTTGTTGTTTAATGGGCTATTGGGAAGTGGTGGAAGCATTCGAGGGTGGGGCCCAGCAGGAGGAAGTAGGTCACTGAGATTGTGCCCTTGAGTGGTCAGTTTTGTCACTGGCCCTTTCCTCTCTCCCTTTGCTTCCTAGCTGCCATGAAGTGAACACCTCTGCTTCGCCACACAATCCCTGCCATCATGATCGGCCTCACCACGGGCCCATAAACAACAGAGCCAACTGGTGAAGGACAGAAACTTCTGAAACCATGCACCTCCATCTTTCCCCCTTTAAGATGACATAGCTCAGGTATTTTGTCACAATGATAAAAAGCTGGCTAACAAGGGCATTGGCATGACAGCGTCTTCTGTAGGAATGATGAAAGGAAAGAAGGAAGCTCCCATCCACTGCTCACTCCATAAAGTTCCTAGTGCCATAATGTTCTTGTCCTCTGGCCCAGGGGTGAGGCCCAAGGGTGCAGCTTCTGCAGGGATGCACTGGTCCTGTAACTTGACCAAACCTTCCAGCCTCAATTGTCCAACCTGGGGAAGCAGGTCACACTCCGAACAATTTAGTAGAGCTTCTCGTATATCAAGGGATCAGAGGTCCCAGGTATAACCAGAGAACACTAGTGCCTCAACATTCTGCCACCCCGCTTCCTGTCTTAACATGAGATCCCATAAGTGGGAGATACCAGGGGCAGCATTGCCTCCAGGTGTAAATCAGGAGGCCACCAGCGGAACCACTGCAGCCCAGACCACAAACCATCCTGGATAATTCGGTCCAATGGGAAGAAAGAAGATAAACAAATGTTGAGCACACTGAGATTAGGATTCCACAAGCACAGTCTAATTAGGCAACTGGCTTGTCCTCCCCTTGCAAGAAGTTTAGTATTTCCCAATACACGTGGCAGTGTTGTCTCTTCTATTGAAATGCTGTCTGTAGTGTCCACATGGGTTCCGTGAGATGGGGATAACAGCCAGAAGGTCATCCTTCCTGATGACCTTTACACAATGGTTGTTAGAGACTTCTGTTCTACCACGTCTCTTGTCTAGCAGTGGCAGAAGCACAAGGGATCTGCCTTATACCCCAGGGCATGCTACTGCTAGATGGTGGGCGCAGTGAATACGGTAACTGGATTAAATTGGAGCCCTGCTGGGTATCTGAACACGTGGCAGAAGTGTTTTACTAAAGATATGACAGTGGTTCCCACATCTACCTGGCAGGCCAGAATGGCAGTTGCATGTCTAGAATGTGTCCGTGGTGGTGAAGTACCACTGGAAGCCATGTGTGGGTACCAGTGGTCCAATGTGGTCAATCTGCCACACTGGAATGAGCCCTCTGCCTCGGTGGATATGGTTCCATTAGCTTGGCACATTGCGTGGTGTGAGCTACTGGCTGTGTTGTGTCTTCAGCTTCCATTTCTTTCAGGGTACATGCTCATGATGTGGCCTGTTGTGTTTGAGGTGGACTTTCACGTCCTATTCTGTGGAAAGGATGTGTAATCATGGCCACTTGTTTAGTAGATATTAGGTCAGCTTGTAAGACCCATTCATGTTCTCCTTTGAATGGTCCTTTGCCATGAGTGACAAGTAAGGCTCTTTCTTGGGTCACAAGCTGCTACCCTGGTCCTGTATCTACCAAGGAGGGCCCCTAA